AAAAGGTTGGGGACCGCTGCTCTAGAAGAGTATGTTGAGAAAAACTGTAACATTTGGAGTTCCATTGGGTTCTACCTAGATTTTCTTTTTATAATCTCCTTGCTCCCACTTTCTAAGAACTTTATGTAGAACCTTTTGAAGATCACACAGATCTATAACAATGTCAGTTATGTTCTATGACGTATTGCATAACTTGATAAAACAAATCAGTAAAATGTAGCAGGAAGTTGTTTTTTTTCCCATATGTGGAACGAACCTGTTCAATATGTAGGTGCCATTATAAACTCTTGCGAAAACTTAAGCAATCAGGGAGAAAAAAATACCTTAGATCACAGCTTTCAGACTTTTAGGTTTGTAATAAAATTTTCATACATTTTTGTGAACATTTGAACCCACTAGGTTTCAAAGCTTAGAGCTTATTGCATCTTTCTAACATGTATGAGGAAAGAAGAGGAAAATCTAGATGTGGATTTGTCCAGTTAAAATGTTGAAACTGATTGCTGTATCTCTGGCTTTTTTTAAGAGTCACAGTAAGAAAAAGCACTAAGAATGTAATACATGATGAATTTGCTGGAAAAGAATAATATATAATCCCAATGTTGCAAAATGTTTCTTTAAAAAACCCCACAGTTGCATCAATCATCATCATTTAGAGAGGAATAAACCACTTTCATAAAAAATACAGAGATCCTTACTGTACTGTGCAATACAAAGGTGGCTTACGAGTAAAAGCCCTGGAGTGGCGTTCTCAGTCTCCTAAACTTTAAATAAGCCACATTGAGAAGATCTAAGGCCAAGAAGAAATGTAGCCTTTTTACCAAAAGACTATCTGAAAAGTTAAAGCATGTTAATCATGACTACTCCAAAAGGCCTCAAGCCCTTATTGATGTTAAAAGATGGTTACACGCAGCATTAAGAACTAAGTTAAGTAAACATTCTAGTGAGGTCATTTGTGTACTAAAAAAAAAAAATAAATAAAAAAAACTACTGTCAGGGTATGTAATCTTCTGTTAGATAGAGTTGTTGATTTACCTTCAGGCGGCGCACACTCAGCCTGGAACCCAATCCTACTGATCATCTCACAAAACTGTGCTGGGATGCACTGAAACATAATTTTAGAAGAGGAGATGCCAAGCTGCTTTTTCTTCATGTCGAACATCAACTTCAGAGGATTGTTTTCGATTTTTTCCACCTAAAGAGAAAATACTGCTTTTAGAATATTTCAAAGCTTCAAGGAGATGTGTATATTCCAGGGGTCAGTTTCATGTAGCAGGTTTAACAAATTCAGATTCAAATCCGCAACTCAAAATGGATCTCTGAGCGTTCGGTTTTACAATGGCTGCTATCAATTAGTTCAATAAATTTTAACTAGTGTAAGTGGCAGGCAAAACAAGTATGAAAAGCCATTACAACAGGAGCACCAATTGGAATTATAGATTTTAATGCAGAAATGAACAAAAAAATAAACAAATAAATAAAAAAGGATAATGTGTTTTAAAGACAGCTAAAGAGAAACAGCTCTACAGCTACAAAGGAGAGGAAGATGATTCATAAGTTTAATAAAAGTACTCCTCTCTTCATTCTGATCAAAATCACACTCCTGCACCTAACTGTAATAATATATTTTCTAAATTACATTTTTGTAGCAAAAACTGAATTTTAGAAAGTAAAAAAAACCAACAAAATCATACTGCTTAGAATTAAGTTTTATATACCTGGAAATGTTTACACATTTTAATTGACTGTTCGGATTTTGAGTTTATCAGCTTGACTAAAAATTTATTCATGGCATCTGAAAAGTATTTTTTCATAGTTAAACTAATAAAAATTCTGACTAGTAATATTAGGAATATGGAGATCTGAAATGAATTTATAGACATCCAGAATGTTTATTCTAGATGTGAAGAATATCATGTTTTTTAAATGATCAAAGAAAAATGCTTGTTTTCAGATGTCAGGAACACATATTCATACAACATAAAACTGGTACATATCAAAACGGCAGCTCTTGTTACTGTGAAAATATTGTGGGATTATTTCTTGAATGGTAGTAGATTAATGTAGGCGTTGTTCTAATATATAGAGCCTGTGGATCATCTCCTCCCTCCTTATGTTCATTCAGTCTTCTTTCACAGTAAAGTGGATTTTTGCAGACAAATGGCCATTATAAGTAGCTATCAGTCCCACAGAATGCTTTCAGATTCCCTTGTGGAATTAATGAATCTCTTTACGTGGAATCTGAAAATAATTTCAGTAGTTCTTAATGAACTTCAAATAAATCCATCCATCCATTTTCTGTCACGCCAAGCGGAGTCGCGAGGGGTGCTGGTGCCTATCTCAAGCTGTCTATGGGTGTGAGGCGGGGTCCACCCTGGACAGGTCACCAGTCCCTCGCAGGGCAACACAGAGACAAACGACCATTCACGCACACACTCACACTTAAGGAGAATTATTTAGAGAAGCCAATTAACCTAACAGTCATTTTTTTGGACTGTGGGAGGAAGCCAGAGTACCCAGAGAGAACCCACGCATGCTCAGGTAGAACATGCAAACTCCATGCAGAAAGACCCCGGGCTGGGAATGGATCCCGGAATCTTCTTGCTGCAAGGCAGCGTAGCTACTAACTGCTACATTGCCAAAAAATTTAAAATAACAAAATAAAAATAAATCGATCCACATCTCACTCATTAAACAAACCAAAAACAAGTAATCTCATGCCCTGTCAACTGAGTTGTAAAATCATCTCGATATATATGATTTACTTATCTGTGAAAAAGTGCTGAACAATCTATAATAAGATCCTTGTCAAACGGACATGCAATAATTTTTTTTAAAACCTAATGTGTCTAGCGGACCTAGTGTGTATACAGTATATATATATATATATATATATATATATATATACTGTATATATAAAAAAAGTTCTGTTCTTTTCCCTCTGTATTAAATCTGATCTTCAATCAAACGACATGTCATTGTTTCCTATATATTTTTTTTTTTATCCACAACACTACGACAAAAAATAACTACATCAGGAAACAAAACATTGTTATTGGCTATAAGGAGAGTGGAGACAGAGAAAACTCCTAATTTACTGAAGAAATCCTGCTACCAACCAGGTTATGTTCGGGGAGAATGCTACTGTTGTGACTGAAACAGAGGTTAAATAAACTCTCTTTATGAACCGATAAAGTCAGAGTTTCCCTGTTTTCAGGTTTAGACAGTTTTCCGTAAACCTGCATCATGAAACGAACCCCAGAAAGTTAAAAACCCTGCCGAAGTTTTCTTTTCATCCTTTTCACTTAACTAGGTGATTATCCCCCATTCTGTGGTGTGGAGCTGGAAATGTAAATGATTGGAACTAATTTTTGTACAGCCTGACTGACATCTTCAGGTGTTTGAACATACTTTACCTTCATTACTCTGAGCCCGTGAAAGCTGAATGCATCAGATCGATCCAAGAATACTTTACTTGACTTTTCAACAGTCTCCCTTTTACAGGATTTATCAGTTTGAGACATCATCTGCAGGTCACCTTCTTCCTCTGAGATAAAGTCCTTCTGGATTTTACAGAGCATGGCCTCAACCTCCAGGGCAGCAAAAACAGTGTCTTCCTTTGTCTCTCCATTTATTTCTATACACGCATGACCTTGTGTGAAAAACTCTTCAATTAACTCATTTTCAGCGACAACGGACAGCCTCAGATGGTCTTCCTCACTAAAGTGCAAGATAAAGTTGTTGTAGATCTTGACAGTGTGGGAATGCATAGAAAGAAGGTCAGTGAGCCATTTCTCAGCCTCTTTTGTTGATTCATCAGATGGACCAAGCAAGCTGATTTTTGGAGTTTGAGCCCTGCTGGTGGGGGAATCAGCTTTATCCCAAGATGCTGTTAAATAAAATGTAACACAAATCTTTGTTTTATAAATATAAACTTTGCTGAACTTGTAACATTACAATTGCATGATGTTTTTTTCATAATGTGATTTGTTTCTTTAACTTGAATAATTATAAGATTTAAGCATATGTAAAAATATTTTCCTGCAGAAAAAAAAATTGCTGGAGGTCTTGTATTCACCTTCTGGCCTGGTGTGACCTTGGGATCCCCAAGAATGACCTGGAGATTGTTGCTGGTGAGAATGATGGCTGAATTTCCCTCCTCCTCCTGATACCTCTGTAGAGCAGTCTCAGATTTAACAGAAAACAATAGCCTGACAGGTTTTAAACCTCAATAACTGAGTTAAGCTTTGCCACAACACATTGGATGTATCTCCCTAACTAGTTATAAAAAAACAAGTGGGCAAGAGTACTTTAAATTGTTTTAAGATTAAAGAAGAAAATTTGGAGTTGACATGGTATAATGAGCAGAAATCTTTAAACATTACCGAGTGAAGAGCTGGAAGAGGCTGATCCTTGTTGGAAATGTCCCATTTTTTTCAGAAAGGCCTGGGAGCAGAGAGCAGATTTCACATTCAGCACAAAACAGAATAAAGATTATTTACATAAAACACATTTTCAGCTTTAATCATCTAAATAGTGACATTTACATTTTAAACACCACTTCCAAAATATAGTCTCGGAAAGTACCTGGAATGTTTCATGGTCAGAGGGAAATATGACCAAGTAAACCTCCATCTTGTTTTGAAAGTTTAGTGAAAAATCAAAAACTGCTTGCAACATTATTGTCGCAGACTCATCTTTACTAAATCCAAGGGCTCCAGTGCCAATAGCAGGGAAGCTGATTGAGGTGTAATGCTGTGCAGCAGCTCTTTTTAAGCACTCCAATACTGAATTGTAAAGGATCTGTAATAAAGGAAAACAGGTAACAAATAATTACGAGTTATTTTTCATATATTTATATATATATATCTATATATATATAGATATAGGTATATGAGGTGTCTTACGTGATCTGCTGCTGGATCAAGTCTTTTTTCAGTACAAAAAGTGTGAAACACCTCTTTGCAGTGCAGTCTGTAAGGTCGTGTATTGACAATACAGCCCCTCGAGTTATCGTTCCATATTTCATGTTGCATTTGAAAACCTGCTTTATCCAGTATAGCACTGGAAATTTTACCCTTGCTCAGGTCTTTGTTTTTTGATGCAGTGTTAACAATGACATCTGTCTGAAAGAGAAACAAAACAAGGTTACTAATTTCAATTCAGATCAACATACTTCGAGGCACGGCCATTTTCAACAGATTCAAACTAAAAGCAAGCTCAGAGGCAGTGGCAATCTCCAAAAAAAATTTTCTTTGCAAAGAAGGTGAGTGACCACTGATTTTGGCATCATAACTTCTTTTTAATTCAGAGGGAGGGTCTAACTTTAAGCATCATGTTAAACACACTGGATCTCCTTTAGCTTGCCAAGTCGGAAAACAAAGTGGTGGACAATGTAAGCTTCTTGATCTTTTTTGCTAAAAAAAACTGAAGTGCATGATTTATTTCTACAACTCTCTCTCTGCTTTTAACACTAAATATTAATAAACCTGTTACGTTGTCTGACCATTCACTACAGCACAGTGACACTCTGGGGAGTGAATTGATCCCAGATATTTGTATTTTTGTACACAAATCACAGCCTAAACAGAACACACACTAAACACATACTATTTCTCGAACTGTCTACCAATCACAGACATTCTGAAGGCTTATCAGCAGGGTATCCAAAATTTTGTTAAAGCTTTTTATGTAGCATTCCTTGGAGTTCAACATTTCAAAGATTAAAATGGGTTGCTGTAGTGATAAAAATCATATGAATACTATTTCATATATATGACATCCAGGGTCAGACCCTCAGATACAGGGAATGTGACAGACACATGCCCTTCAGTCCTAACCTGAC